TCACGGCTGCTTCAGCAGAGACTGATTCCAGCGCTAGTTGTGGCTGACGTGTCCTCCGAGTCGTGTTTTATGCAAATGCAGGTCTCTGAAACAAGGATCCAAGGGTAATGTTTGCAGAGGAGATGGCGCAAGCCTGACACCATTCTCTCTCTGCTTCCAGCTAATCTGTTCGATTAATCACATCTGCGACGGCACAGATACAAATGCTTCAATTACAACCTGAAAGCATGACGGATGAGTGAGCAAAGAGGTTCTGTTGCCGTCTTCTTCCCTCCTCTTCCAGTCTATTTCTTTCTACTTTATCCTTTGTCCTGTTTTTGGAGCATTTTGCTAAGACTTTCTTTGCTCAAATGTTTTTATTAAACTGAAAATATTTCATGTCTGTCTTTTTCTCTATTCACTATCTAAAAAATAGTTTTTAGAAGATTAAGGGGAGAAAGGAATAAAAAATGAAGTGTTTTTTTAATAGAAGTGTAAGTATATATTTTATTTAAATCACATGTCGTTTTTATTTTCAAGACAAAAGGATAGTAAAACTCATAGTCAGTGCTAGATTACCAGCTATATTTGAATAGCAAGCATCATGGTCACAGTGCAACCTTCCTAACTACAGATTTTAACAAGTTGCAGCTTCTACATTTTAAACCCATGTTATGAAATGTGTTAGTTGCATATTTAAACCTACTTAAGACTGAACAAGGTACAGGACAAACATTTTATGAAGATGCTTTTACTCCGTACAGTGAATTTACTTTTGTTGTGTAATATTAGTGTTGCACTTGAGAAGTCATTCTATTTCTCGGTAGATCTTGTGCTGTTTTGATTTCAGTTAGTATAATTATATAATTTATTGGCTCCTTATTACTTATCTGGATACTTTTTAGGCACCCCATGAGCATCCAAACATGAGATTGGATGCTCATATTCAAGGGGAATTCAACTAGGTGTTGGAAACTTACCCAGAGGTTTTGGTCCATATTGATATGATGGCAGTTAATGCAGATTTGTCAGCTGCACATCCATGATCCAAATATCCCTTTCTAGCATATCCGAAACATTTTCTATCAAACTGAAATGTTGTAACTCTGGAAGCTACACGAATCGTTCATTTCAAGAAACCAGTTTGTGCTGAGTTGGCCTTTGTGACATGGCAACTTTTCAGAAGTCTGTGGTCATAAAAGGGTGAACATAGCCAGCAACAGCTGATATTAGGAGGCTTAAAGTGTGCAAAGAGAATATCCCCATTATCCTGAAAAAATGGGATCAATGCTTTGATATTTACATCGGACGCTGAAGAAATGAGAGTCACTGAACCAGGCCAGGTTTGTCCAGTCTGTTATTGGCTGATTTTGCTGAGACTGTGTGAAGTGCAGCCTCAATTTCCTGACAGGAGTGGAACACAGTGTGTTTTTCTAATGCTGATTAATGCTGATTTTTCTAATGCTGATAGGTATTCAAAAAATGGCATTTTTTGAATACCTAATCAGTATTAGTTTCTACAACATTTTGTTGTAGAAACTTATTTTGGAGTCATTGTTGGTTTTCTATGATCTGAAACCACTCTGCCCAATCTTTTCTGATCTCAACAAGATATATGTACAGATACACTCTATATATTTCAGCATGTATTTTACATTCACTGTAAATTCAAAAGATGGCTGTGTATCTAGTTTTGCTTCATTTAGGAGTGCATGCACACTCCTTCTTCCTCTCTTATTGTTCTTCACTGCCTCTTTTCATTCTTTTCTTCTCCTCCACCTCCTTCTCTCTCGACAGTTCTTCTCATTGCGCCTCCTCCTCACGTCCCTCCACCCTCCACATTAATCACATGGCAGGGACAATAAAGCGGAGCATCTGTAATAGTTTCGCTGCGTCACTGAAGGACGGGCAGAGGTCGGCAAGCGTCGTGGCTAATGCGTAGACTCCCTGGGTGTGTGTGTGTGTGTGTGTATTAACGGTAATAGATGACTTGGTGTGGACGCAAGGACAGAACGGGGACATTGCTTGCTAAAAATGGATCACTACCTTGTGGTGCAACATACATAAGTGTAAATGCACACACCTACAGCTACACAAAAACAATTGAATGCTAGTCATGCAAGCGCCACATACTGGGACAAGACATTCCCTTCTGATTTCACTTTTTAGTGATCTCTTTTGGCAATTTGTTGGGTATTTAGCCTCTTTTCTTCTTCTGGATGGTAGCGCCTGAGTCTAGCACAGGGGTGTTCAGCTGTCGTTTTTTATTGCTGGGTTGATTTGTTGTTGCTGCAGAGGTTTTGCGTCACTTCAGCTCCCTTGCTGCCAGCGGTTGTTTCTGATTTAGGCATCGGACTTGCTAGCGTGGTGATCATAAAATTCTTTTTTTATTTTTCCTGTCAAAAATGGAATGGTTAGATGAGATGGGCTGCTGGAAAGACTTCCCAAACTGACTCAAAGGGAAAAAGAGAAGAAGAAGAAAAAAACAAGTTGCAAGCATTCAGACTCCAGACAAAAAAAGAGGACGTTCAGTCACCGGAGGGATTTTCTTTATGTCACTTTTAAGCTTGTTGTTTAAAGGCTGTTTGTGGTGTTTATTCTGGAGATAAAGCTTCCACAGACAGCCCACGTTGATGTTTTCTACAAACTCTGAAACAGATAAGGAAGTCGATGCCCCTTCTGTAATGAAAAGGCAGCGTGACAATGCAGATAACATTATCAGTATCTCATTGCCCTTGGGTGAAAATGTCCCGTGCATGGCGTCACCTTCTGTGCTTCTCATGTCAGTCAATCGAATCCATTCAAACACCTCAACTCACATCCTCACTCCCCTTGATTGGTGAGTGAAACACTTTGTGATATCAGTGCCTTGTGCAGCCTGACCCGTGGTGAGCTCTTCATTCATTAATCCAGTCCACAGCTCAACCTTTGCAAAGCTTTTGGCCGCTTTTTGCAGAGCAAGAGTATACAGAGATACAAAGGGCATACAAGACAACGTGCACACGCCGCTGTTAAAACATCTTAGTTTTAACAGTATGAAAAAGTCTTAAAGAATAAAGGCTTGCAACTGTTTCCACTTATATTGCAACTATAATTCAATGGAAAGATTTATCAGATGAAAAAAATAATCGAATAAATAAAAACACAGCAGTGATCTGACATTCATTTCCACAGCTTAATACTTTTTGATTCAGTTTCAATGATGGAGAAATTGTGCGTTGTAGGACTTTCCTAATATTTGCACACTTTTATTCTTTACTTAAAAGCCATAGTTTGGAGTCAAAGATCAAAAGTATCACAGTTATCAACCAGGAGAAAAGTGCTGTGTTTTTATTTTCTTCCACCAGATTGGACTAAGTGTGGGATCAGCTGAACATCTAGTGTGATAAAAGAGCACAAACAAAAGAAATGTGTAAATAGTTAAATATTTTTTTCTGCAATACTACATGTTTCAGTTTATTTAACAAACTTTAATATCAGATGAAAATAAACTGAGTAAAAAAAGTGGTTTTCAAATGTTGCTCTTATTTCTTAGCTTCTGTTTGAGAGCAGAAATGTGATGTTATTTTACACAGGATGACACTCACCAGCCAAAACATCTACTTTTTGGCAGACGCCCTCATTTGTCTCATCAGTCGACATGTTTCCCTAACGTCTTTTGGATCATCAAGATGTTTTTGGCAAATGTTAGTGAAGCTTGTGTGGAGTTGTGAAATAATCACAATGTTGGAAAGTTACCAAAGCTGACAATACGCCCATTCCAATCTCATGCCTCACTGTAAAAGCCTCACAGCTTCTACACATGCAGTCCTTGCACCCTACCCCCATTTCACCTCTCATTATCCTCGATTTTCAGCAATACTTAGGGTGGTTCAGGTTTGTCCTGCTTACTTTGAAAGCCATTTTAAACACCAGCCCAATATCACAATTTTTCCATCTTGGCCAGCAGTGGATTTTACCTTGGAGCAACTCTCATATTGGCATTTTTGACTATATTGTTTGATAATGTTGAATTCTGAATAATGAGCTCAACTTCATGTGCCATTCTGGGTTCTTTTATGACTTTCTGGATGAGTCGTTTATCTGCTCTTGATGTAATTTTGGCTGACCACCACTTATGTGGTTTTCAGCACTTCCATGTTCTTGTACATGGGCTGGCAACCCTTTCCTCACTGCCATATATCAGCTCTTCTCGGATGTTTGTATTTATTTTTTGTCAGACAGATTCTATTAAAATGTTTTTTTTTATTATTCTACAACAGCGGCAGGAGTTACACTTTGGTTTATTTAGTGAAATCAAGGTTAATTCATGATTTAACAAGAGAAGCAATTGAATTTTCACATAACGCAGGTTGGTCTGGATTCCTTTTTTTCTTAATAATTAATATCTTGATTTAAAACTAGATTATCTTGGATGTTAAACTTTATCTGGTGAACTAAAACTTGAAAGGGGCGCAAATAAATATTCCAGTCACAAAAAATGAGCTGAAGGAGAGCATGCTGCTTTGTCTAATCAACTAATTCTTGTTTCCTAATGTCAACAAAAAATATGATTTTGACATATTCTAACACTGTAAAACAAAATAACTTCCCCTAAGTGTAAGAACAGAACTTTGTGCAGTTTAATCCTGTACAAAGTGCAATACAATTCAAAACAAAGAAATGAAAGTCAGAGGCACAAAGCAGCAACATCTAACTGATGATGATGTGGCAGCACTGGTCAAAATTCAGGATCGATCTAATAACAATGTGAATTCATAATGATCAGCTACAAAATGTATCAACACAAATGACCTTATGATCTTGAAAGCGCCTGAATACTTCATGGACATTTTCTGGTCTACTTGAGCTGAGACAAGATGCATAATTGGGCACTGATAAATGAAAGCATAATTAGAGCCTTCTCTACTGTAAAGCAGACATGTTGGTGATGTATGTTTCTGTTTCTGTTGAAAACTTCTTTGCTGTGTCCCCTCATAAAGAGCTCTCAACTGTGATGTTTTTTCTGTGGTTCCTAACAGCCTGAGTCTTGGCCTGTGTTGCAGGAGGAGGACCCGGGTGACGGGCGCTTCAGCTTCCCCGGGTACGGCATGGGTCCTGCCTGCCTGCAGGCCAAGGATGGCATGGCCATCAAGGGCAACAACAACAACGCCCCGACCTCGGCACCGCCCGAGAAGAGCATTGAGGAGATGAAGAAGCTGTTCATCAGCCGGGCCAAGCGCATTGACACAGTGTCCCGCGTGGCCTTCCCGCTCGTCTTCCTCATTTTTAACATTTTCTACTGGATCATTTACAAGATCATCCGCAGCGAGGACATCCATAAGCAGTAGCCGAATGGAGGAAATGAGCGACAGCGACGTGAAGCAAAGAAAAGCAGCAAAACAAATTAAAAATATGAGACAAAGATGACTCCAAAGCAGATATTATTGTCCCTCTTTTCCAGCCATACCTCTTGTCCTCTTCTTTCATCCTCTTTCTCTTTGGTCAAAGATTTGCTGCTTTTTGTGGCCCCTCCTTTGAGCCCCATTTGACCAAACCGTTTGAAGCTTTTTATTGCTTTTTCCTACCTTTCTTGCCCTACTCCTGAATCCCATTCCCTTTTTCCTGTCTCTTTAAAACCCCTTAACAGTCCGGAACAGTGCAATAGCAATGCAGTAAAATGCATGATATATGAATGTGGCAATATACTGAAGAAGAAGCGTGAAAAAAAATAAACCTAAACTTTCCAAGACACACCCAGGGAACCGTTTGGGAGTGAACGGACTGGAAGAAAAGGAGACAAAAAGATCTTGTATTTAATTTGAGCTTTTTTGTGACGACAGAGATATAATTCTTTATGGAAATATGACGTAGGGATGCGGTGGGAAAGGTGCAAGAGGCATACAGCAGTGTAATATACTTATTTATCATAACTGGAAGATATATGGACCCTGTCTCCAAGGATGGACATCTGGAACAAAGGATGTTTAACCCTCCAAAAAGAAAAGAAAGATGGCGGTTCAGTGCTTCCACTAAATTAATTGATGCAAGGATCATGCATTCTATATATCTAGTTTTGCTTCAAACATGTATTGCAAGCACTTGTCAAAGCTTTCCCTCCCTCCTGCTGCCAACGCCACAAAAACTGCAGAGACACTTGAAGTTTGTCGCTGCTGCTGGACTAAGAAAATAAAATGAATATAAGACACTAAAAAAATAATGGACACCCAGAGCTGATTAATACCTGTGATCAACATCTATCAGTTCTTAATTACTTTCACTCTGCATCTTTGTGGGTTTTTTTGTTTTGTTGTTGTTTTCTGTTCTGTCGTTCTTTTTTAAATATAAATACTAATTAATATATGTGCCAACTAAACTTGTCACTTGTGGCTGTGCGACACTCGTCATCTCTGACCTTTTCACCTGGAGGGAGGGCGAGCAGTTTGATGTCTTTTGTTTTGATCACTGAGATTTCAGTTCAACGCCATTAGCCGAAGAAAGACCAGCTCGATCCTTGACCGGAGTAAAAAAACGCAGATTCTGATTCGTTTTCCTTTGCTGTATTGATTGGGACTGAAACATTCACATGTTTACATCTTTGTGCTTCCTTGCTTCAACCCTGCCTCAATGTGACGCCAACATTCCCCACCTATCCTGATCCTGAGCAAGAGGACAAACGTCTTAAATCATACATAAAACATCAAACTTTATGTGCATCTCACATGGACCAACTGTAGCTGTGAACTTCATGGAACTGCATCGTCTCACACACACAGAGTGCAACACCTGAATTTATTTCACCACACTGGATGGGATTTGATCAGTCTGGCTGGTTGATGTGATCGATTGATAATTTTGCTTTGCACCAGGCTTCTCTATGCAATGATTAGTATATGCAATTTTCATTTTTACTTCTTCACTGCTCTTCCATCTCAAGTGGTTACACTTTAACGATTAGAGGTGAGAATGCCAAGGTATTGACCTCTATAAGGCACTTTTGGCCCTAAAGCATGCAGATGCCTGCATGAAAAACTGGTCTGTAACAAGAAATAGACCAAGCCAAATCTAACTTGATATTAAGAATTTCCCCATGTTTAATGCACAAAAGATTATTATGTTTGGTACGTTATCTGCATATTCTACGCAGAATATTCCTAAGTGCATTTATTCTTTTAAAAATGCTTCAAGTCTGGGAAATTACCAGTATTTTAGCAAAGAAAAATCTAAAATTTACCTTAGAGATGTAGTTACTATTGCAACGTTATTTAAGAAAGAGATTTATTTATTCTGATGACATAAAATGTCTTTTAGCACTTAGAAAAACAATCAAAAAAATGGCTGAAAGTTGTATGAATTGAAGAAAATCACTGTCATCATTAGCCAGGAACAGTACTGTATCTCTGGCTTTGTTGCCAGGTTTTATTCATGGAAAGTAAGACCAATCACTCATTTCTATCATGCTCTAAGAATGATTATATTTTTAGAACCAGTTTCAGATACTTATTTTCTGCATAGAACTGAAAAAAACATGGTGCCCTGGGAATATTAGAACCTTTTGTAATGTTCCTGTTATGTGCCATATAGATTTGAAGAATATAAGGTTCAAGTCATAGCCAGTCACATTATATTTATAGCTTATGCAGTTTTTACTTGTGGAACACATTTTCTGAATATCCTAAAATAGACCTGACGGTACAGGTTGTCTGTCACATCCAAAATCTGTTTTATCCCATCATGAATATATCCCAGGCTTTGTGAATGAAGGTATGCGAGACTGATCTGAAGGGCTATGCCACTCATTGACTCCATTCTGATTCTAGATATTGAAATAAAAAGTGCCATAAAAACACACATCACCCAAAAAGCTATGCATTTCATCCAAAATACATTTTTCTAAAACTTGTTCACCAGGACCGCTATGCGTCTTGGTTAAAGTTTGTGTTGGTTGTCCACGTTTCATTGATAACTGAAGGCCAGGTTGCAGAGGCAACGCATTAGGCAGAGACACCCAGACCCGCCTCTTCCTAGCTACCTCCTGCAGCTCACCTGGGGGACGCTCGGAGTCGAGAAAGTCCTTGGCCAACCCAAACCCTAATTCCAGCTGACACCAAACTGTCTTGATTAGTTTTAAAGTGATAATTTGCAGGTTGGCTCCTCAAAGCCAAGAACACTTATGCTTCGGATATGACCTATGACATAGGCATATAGAAAAAAAAAAGTTATTTGTCAGGTGGCACATTTTCTACTGCTTATTGTGATAAACAGTCATTGCTGGAGATTGTAAGAAAATATGGTATAGAGTCTGGCTCTCTTGAACTGACCTTTAAAACAGATTGAGGGTTATGAAACCTCAGTGCCATTTCTGAACAAATAATCAAAAAAATTCATACCAAACGTCAACAACCAGAATTTGTCACTAATAGACTGAAATGCTTAATGAGTGAGGGGAAATAGTAAATGTCAAATAAATCCTGGAAGGTTCATTTTCATTTTATAAAGTCCCAAAACACATGTATTTTTTATGCTTCTTTGGATATTTTTCAACATGTAGCCTATTTGCAAATAGTTTTGCAGCTGAAAGTTTAAAAATGTATTGTGGGATTTTCAGAGAATCATTAAATCATTTGATCTGTTTAATCAAAGTGGCAGTTTAGCTTTAACATATTTTAAAAATATTAATTTATTATTCAAAAGACAGACAGTTCAATCTTGGGCTAATCTGGAACTATGGAATTGAATTCTTTATGCCTGCGTGAATTAATGTCTCTGCCTTTCTGAATAAAACTGAAACTAGAATAAGAAACCTCAGAAACGGGCTCCGACTCATTCGATACTGATTTGTTCTTCTGTGCCATAAACACTCCAACTTGAAGCGCTTGTGTTCATGAGCCAGCATCTGTTTTCCTGGAGCACACACACGTATCTTCTTGTGCCATATCGGGGTTGAATATGCAACCAAAAAACAATGGGAATACAAAGAAAATGAAACCTGGACCTAAAAGCATATCATGAATTTTTCAACCACTTCACATGATTCATGAGCCTCATCGCTCCTCTGTGTATCATAACTTCTTCATCACCAGCCTCATATTATTGTGTTAGTCATTGATTATAATGTAATGGTTGGTTGGAGTTGCAAATGGTATAATATGTAAAAAAAAATAAAATGTTGGGTTTATATTGCATCATATTGAAAAAGTATAAGAAAGATAAGTTTATTAAGAAGGATAAGTTTATCAAACTTTAATTTCTAGGTCGAATTTTAAAGAAGCACGGTTTAATATTTTGATGATTATTGATTTTGAGGAGTTTTCTTTTGCTTGTATTTTAGTGTATGTATTATACAATCTGACGCCCAGAGGGAAAAGGAAAAATGCAGTGAAACCTGAATTGCTGTGAATTAATGGAATTACTATTATTCATTTATTGATCTTCTTTGCAAAAGTTGGAATGGCCTTAATTTTGCTTTACCTGCTTCTATTGTGTCTGGCACAAAGTGCAGCTCCTTTTAATTTGCTAAATTTCTGATGCTAATTATGGCGCTTATATAAGCTGAGAGTGCACATCAAAGCAAGGTGAAAAAGTTCTGCGAATTCTGTTTATTTTTCATTAATCTGAGAAACTATATTTTGCATGAATATAAATAAAAATGGCAGATATTTTGGCTTGTACAAAAAATGTGAAGCAATTTGAAGATGAAAAAAAGAATGTACTGTTTCTGCTGTATCTGTATATATCTGAATATTTATTAAAAAGAAATATGTCATACTACTAATTCTATTAACGATTAAAGGTTTTCTGGACAAAAATCTCTTTACCTGTTTTTGAACATTGTCAAGATTGTTGGAGTTGGATCTTCTGCTTTCTGTTACTCGACTCAAGGATCTGTGTAATCATTAAAGAAAAAAGTATTAAAAATCGCAAATAAAAGCTTCCTCTCAGGTGTTTTTATTCTTTAAGCACAATGAGACTCTTGAGTTTCTGCTCAAACTACAAGCAATGCAAATTAACCCTGTCTGATATTAATATTTAATGTTTTCTGATTCAAATTAAAATTTGTAACAAGCAGAAGGAATATAGTATGTAACAAAAGTATTCACAGCTCTTAAGCTTTTTAACATTTTGTCAAATTACAACCATAAACTCTAGTGTATGTTTTAAATCATAATACACAGTAGTTCATAACTTTAGAATTATATTTCGGTTTTCTAAACTGCTTCTTACTTTGCCATGAAACTGTAAGAGATTTGAGACGACAAACATATTCTGAATGTTAAATCTTGAGATGGAGAAACTAGCAAAAGAGCAACACAGTCCATCTCGCAGGAAGCAACACGGTGCAACAGGCACATCACAGAGCTCAATTTGACCTTTTCTTCCAATGCTTGTTTCAAAAGTGATGCTTTCAGTCCGAAGTCCTGATTAAAAGCTGAAAACAAGATAAATCGATGAAGACAGTTGATCAGAAAGCAGAACCAGCGATTGGCAGTGGGTTTGTCAGGACTCTGCCATCATCAGGACAGATGAGTACTTCAGCTCCCTCTGACTCCAGCCAGAGTAACTGGTTTCCTGCAGAAAATCAATGCTAATCATTTCGACGGAGGCTCTACTAAGACATCTGAGGAGCCTCTTGAAAGTCAGTGCACTCGACTAAGAAATTAAACTCTGTGTAATTCCTGTTTTCCAGAGCAAGCATCAAAATGCGCAGCTGATTGTGTTTGTGGTCCTGATAATTAGATGTGCAGTAAAAGGAGGAGCAAGAGCCGAGAGTAGAACGACCAGATGTGGATGGATGTACAAGCAGAGTGAAAACAATGTTAAATTATCCTACTTCAATTACAATAACTTTAAATTTCCAAACGTATGTCTGTGCAAAACTGTTTAAAATCCCAAATGAGTTCGCGATTCTTCAGCTGAGTTGCAGTACCTTTAGGACGACGATAGGCGTCACTGTTGGACAGAAGCATTTTTGAGGTTTTCTATGAAAGTCTGCAGCATCAGAAACCTAAAAATGTATCCAGAAGTTCACATACCTGAGGAACTTCCCACCTGGGCACGTTTACTTTTCATTTGCGTCTTTTGAAATAAAACCAGTTCATAGCCATCTTATGCAGCCCAATAGCTACTTACTAAGAAGAAATAAACTACACATTCTTTAGATCCACAATATGTTGAAATGTATTTTATTTTAATTTAGATGATTATGGTTTACAGCTCATGAAAACCATAAACAGATATTTGTCCCCAATTTCTTTCGGTAGGAGAACTTCGGACAAAAATCTGTATAAAAATCTTGCTGTGTGAACTAGTTATATTGTAAACCTTGATTTTAAACAGACAAAAACCAAACGAGGTTAAAACAGTAAATCGCTTTTAATTTAGTTCTCTCATCGGCATGTGAGCTTATTTTTCAGATGACAAATGAAGTGCATCGGTAGTACAAGTCTGACAGGTTTTGATACATGCTCCATTCAGACAACATTACTAAAATAAAACTACAACATTTCAGCTCTTTGACCTGATAGAATAAAAAGACAGATCCATCGCTAGATACAACGGTGGCAGCAATACACAGGATTGCCCAAGCAGTAAAAGTACACGTTCCTTTAAGAAACAGGGAGAGAGAACGCGAAACATCTGGGTTTACAAATCCCCAATTCAAGTAGTATTTACCCTTTTTCATGTGTTTGTGTGTTCTGATTTAACAAATTCAAGTTTAGCAATTAAAAATGGCAACAAAAAAAAAAGTTGACCAAAAGTCCAGGTAAAAACAGGTGAAAGCAATACAAACATCCAGGGCTGATCCAACTGCAGAGCTGGTTATGTCTCCTGCACAAACCGATGTGTGGATTCAGGAGGGAGCGCCATCAGAATGAGAGGAGACGGCTGTTCACCGGAGGAGCGACTCGGCTTCAGGAGAAAATGCAGACAGCAGTTACGGTGGATTCATTCTGGTTTCTCTAGACGATCAGAACAACAACAACAAAAACATTCAGAGTTTTTTGGTGGGGGTTAAAAGTTGAGATGGCAAACTTGCAAAGTATTCAGAACTCCTTGTGTGGGAATGCTAAAAACAGTCTGCATCAGCACTCCTGTCTCTTCAAATGAGTCTCAGCATCCAACAGTTTTCCCCCTGAACAGTAAAGATGAGTCCCTGGAGTGTGGAAAGGCAGGACTCTGCTGTGGAACTGGGAAGGTTTGTGTTGGAGGGGGAGCGGCTTTGGAACAAACAGACGGATGACTCCGCCGCCTGAATTCAGCAGATGTGACTTGTATTTAAAAGTTTGACCAAAAACTTGAGCCGAAAACATTTAGGAGACAGAAAAATGCAGAAATGAATCAGAAGTTAGGCAACGCATGAGCAGCAACCCAAATTCCTGACTCCAAATCTATAATTCCTGCCGATGTTCCCTCCTGGATGTAAAGAGAAGTTGTTGTTTTTTTCATTAATTTATCTTTTTCCAATTAGTTCTTTTTGCAGAAAACTCAAAAACGACTGACTCCAAACAGATGATCCATCTCCAAGGGTTCTACTGACGGGGAGCAGAGTAGCGACCCTCTGCGGTCCCGGCACCCCGTCCAGAACCAAAGCTGGGTTTCTGTGACATGCCGCCACGAGTCGGGGGTCCCCTCGGTCCCCCGCCGCCTCCTATTCGCTCTCTGGGGCCGCCGGGGCCTCCTGGACCACGGGGCCTCATGTCTCGCCTGTCGCCCTCTCTGGCCGACCGAGTTTTCTTCTCCTCCACGTTTAGACGGACATCGCCTCTGAACTTGATGGGCTGATGAAGACAACAAATTATATTATAATCCAGAAAGAAAAAAGCTCAACCTCCCCTCAGACTGAAAGCTGTGTTTCTTACTCTGTTGCTGAGGATTTTCTGTACAGGTTCAGAATCATCAAACACCACAAAGCCGAAGTTTGGGAGCTTCCCTCCGCTGTTGATTCGCAGCTCCAGGACATTCCCGTACTCTGGAGGTAGAAAAGTCACGATGTTCCATAAAAATAATCATTTTTAATCCAATTCCAACTATTGAGGCTTTTGACGAATACAACCAAACCCTTTCCAGGCCAGAACTTACTGACAAGCTTTGAAACTACTGAACCGAAGAGCCAAAACAATCAGATGAATCAGTTGAAACAACAAAAAAATGTCAGTTTATTAACAGATTAATCACTGAGGAAATGCTGTGATGCATTTTAGCTAATGCAATATGCTTATTTTCTTATTGCATCTTTATGTGCCATTTTTTATCCAATTAATTGCCAGAATGATTGATTAAACAATAACTAAAAAAACATTTAGTTGCCACCTTTCTGTGCTCTTGCTGAACTGTAATATCTATTAAAGCTGCTGTTGAGGTTTTGCTCCAACTTACGTTCAAAGAACTCCTTCAGTTCCGTCTTATCCACGTCATGTGGAACGTTTCCCACAAAAAGCTGGTGGGCGTCTGGGTACCGGACCATCCTGCGGCCCTCCACCTCACCCTGCTCACCTTCACGAACTGAAATATAGACGGAAACAATTTACTAAAATACAAAAAAGCGATCTCAAATCAGCTGCACTTCCTGTCAGAAGGTGAATCTAAAGTGTGGTGTGGCATTAAGCCGGCCTGCACCTGGCCTCGGCCCCCTGTTGGGGGGTGGAGGACCGCCGGGCCGCTGTTCTCTCGGCCTCTGGTCCCTCTGCGGTCTCTGTGCTGTCTGGGTCTCTGGCTTTACTTCCGCTCTTGGCTGCAACAGAACAGCTTTTATTAGAGCAGGAAGCCATCTGATATTTGCATTTAGGAAAGAAATGAATCATTACTTGAATGTGCTCCAATTAGTTTTAGGCAAATAAACATAAGCAAGTAAAACATAAAGAGTCCAGAGTGAGCTGCTACAGCCGCTCTGGTTAGAAAGGAATATTCTGCTGATAACAAATCAGACTTTTTATGAGGAAAATTTACCAGAACCAAACAATTTGAAGACCAGCAAGTTTTTATATTATTAATTGGATTCAGTAAATTCACTTCAAATATAAACATTTGACTACTTGATAACTTCAATGCAAGACCAGAATGTCTAGTCAGCATTTTTCCAAATTAGTTAATCTTCACATGAGTCCCAACCTCTTTATAAATCAAATTGACATGACGCATTGATCAGATCAGCATTATGATAAAAACTCAAAAATAATAACTCAAATGTGATCGGTCCAAAGAATTTGATTTAAATGAATGTAGCTGACCAATAGAGTTGAGAGTTCAACCTACCTGTGCCGTGGGAGCAGCTTTTACATGTGGAGGGAATCCGGAGACTGGGACAGCCCCACTGGGAGGGAGGTTCTTACTGGTAACCAGTGCCCAGGAGAACTAGCAAGGGAATAAAGAGTGAAAATAAGATTTCTAGTTTGCTAGGGCGTTTTCTCCGGTTCTTCCCACCTCCACACCTACCCTGTTTACCTCTTGAGCAGGGGGCGTGGCCTCAGCGGGCGCAGGCTCTGTGGTGGGGGCGACGGCTGTGGAGGGGCTTTTCTCCGTCTGATCCTCAATTGTGAGCGCTTCTGTCTGCGTCTCCAGCATCACCTCGGCTTTCAGCTCCACCTCCGCAACCTCCGCCTCCTTCTCCGCCTCGTGCTCCGGTTCTGGGCTCGCCACGGCCTCTTCCTCCTCGTCGCCAGGAGCCGCTTGTTCTGAACTACAAAAAGATCATGTGGACGTTGGTTTGGAGCCGCCATCAGGGTTTGTGCTGAGGTAGTCTATCGTAGATGAGCTGTAGGAATATTGACTAAAAACTAAACTAGTAAACCCAGGAAAACTGATAAAACCTTACCAAGCTGTTGAGTCGTAGTAAGGGGCCGACTCCTCTGGGGCCACATCAGGGGACGGGACCCTGTCCAACTCCTCCACCTCATCTTCAGACTCTGAAAATAAGTCAAAGAATT